GGTCTGTGGTCCACTCCAGCAGGAGGGTCTGTGGTCCACTCCAGCAGGAGGGTCTGTGGTCCACTCCAGCAGGAGGGTCTGTGGTCCACTCCAGCGGGAGGGTCTGTGGTCCAGTCTGGAGCAAGCCTGCTGGGGATGTGGGATGGGGCACAACAGGAGGTGGAAGGTATTCCCATGGGGTGTGGTGTGCTGTCCTGGCCTGGGCTGCAGAGCTGTTGTTTGCCCCTGCTGGTCTGGAGTGGTGTCCCTGGGATCACAGATGTGGTCAGGTTGCTATCTGTTAATTATTGGCAATCTCTGTGTTTTTGTGTCAGTTCTCAGGGAACCTGGTTGTCCTATGGGCTGTGCGCCCCCCATTCCTCCCCCCCCCCGTGCATTAGAATTGGCTTGGATTAGGGACACGGTTGGGGAACACCCACAGTTGAGGGACACAAATACTTGGAGCATGCACAGTTGAAGGGTCTTGAGCCCCAGGCTTGCTAGTTGGACCTGCAGGTCCGAGTCTGGACAGCCTCACCATTTCCAGGCTGTGGACTTGCGTTCAGTGGCTTCCACTCCAGTCCTCTGCAGACTTGCTCTCTAGATGTGACCGGCTTGAGGACTCGCACAAGTAACATTAGAAAACATCTTTGTGATGTGGGGACACGCTGCTCGGAACGTTCCCCCGCAGAGACGAGGCTTTGCCAGATGGCCCTGTGGCTGGAGAGCAGGTCCAGCAGAGCTGGTGAGGTCTCCTGCCCACAAACAGCCCTGCCGGGGGACAGGTCATTGCTGCCCTCGGGCCTCTGCTCACAGCCAGGATGCTGCGGCTGACTGTAGATCGTAGGTGTGGGTTGTCAGGGGTAGGGAATGGCAGAAGAGTCCACAGTGCTAAATGCTTTTGTTCTTCGCAGCATGTTTTCTGTGCTTTCACTTCTGTGGGTGAGGAGCCCACCCCAAAACAGAAAACGCCTGGTATATGTAAGCACGTGCTCCTCAAAGCCACAGCTTCTGCAGCCAGGCACGCCCCACCCACGCCCGACCCGCGACCCGCCAACCCAGCGTGCTTGCCCGTGCAGGGTGACGGTGTTGTCGTCACACTGCCTGAGGTCAGGGGTGGTGGAGGGGTGTCCAATGAGACTGGAGGCCTTGCCACACCAACCCTCCTGTGTTAGAGCTCTGGGGCTGCTCTGGGCCAGGGTCTGACTTCTGTGACGGGGGGCAGGGGCCCAGGGCACATGCAGGCTGCCTGCTCAGTCCCGGTGGCCCTGCGTGGAGGATCCCTGGTGACGACACAGCAGTCTTTCTGTCCATACTGTTTACACGCTGCTTTGGAACTTCTTAGGTTGAGAACGACATTTCTGCGTTCACCTACGAAAAGACACTGATGATGGAGCAGAGATCCCAGATGCTGAAGCAGATGCAGCTGTCTAAGACTGAGCGGGAGAGGGAGGTGAGTGTGTAGAGACCTGGAGCCCCAGGCCCTTCCAGAACTGTGTGTCCACGTTCCAGAGCACAGACTATGTCTAAGTTCCAGAACATAGACTGTGTATGTACAAGTTCCAGAGCAGACTGTGTCCAAATTCCAGAGCTGACTGTGTCCAAGTTCCAGAACAGACTACTGTGTGTGTCCAAGTTCTAGAACACAGACTGCATGTGTCCAAGTTCCGGAACAGACTCTGTCCCAGAGTGAGTGGAAGGCAGTGCAGTCTCGTGTTGGGGGAGGAAGCAGGCACAGTTGGTATGTTGTTTGCACGTGGTCTGTGCCCGTGGAAGCCGTGGGAGGTGGAGCGGCGCTGTCTCTGGGCCGGCGCTGGTGCCCCCAGCATTCACTGTAGCTGCTGTCGTGTGGCGTAGCTAGGAGAACAGGCGCTGCTGTGGCCTGGGGAAGGTGAGCGTGTGGAAGGCTAGGACTCACTGGGCTAGCAGGACACAGGGTCCGCATGGCTGGGCTGGGTTTCCGTGGACCCAGTCACAGGAGCATGGGACCTCACTGTCCGTGGAAACTGGCTGTGTGTGGTCAGTGTGTGGGCCTGTGTCGATGGACAGCTGCACATCCCCGGCAGAGATCACAGGACACACTGGTCCCCTGGGCTCCAGGGAGACAGAGATCACAGCACACACTGGTCCCCTGGGCTCCAGGGAGACAGAGATCACA